ATAGGGAGATTACCTATCAACAAAAAGGAGAAAATGAAAGAAAATGTACAAAAAATTATGGAAATGATGACAGGAGTGAGTATACAGATAAAAGATCAAACAAGAGAACTCAGAGAAATTCGTAGAGAACAAAAAGAATATAGAGAAGAAATAAGACAGTTTATGACAAGAGAATGTAACATTAAGAGAAGAAAACACAAAACTAAAAAAGAAGTTTTTTCAGGTAGTTTTTCAAATAGAAGAACGGCTTGAAAGTTTGGAAAATGGAAACAGGCGTAAAAATATAGTTACACAAGGCTTGAACATAGATACAAATGTCCCAGAGACTCTAAAACATGAAATAAAAATTTTATGCAGGTAGAATTAACAGTCGATGTTCAAATAGAGAAGGTTGTGAAGCTGGGAGAAAAAGTCTGTCTGGTTGAGCTTGAAAAGGAAGAGGACAAAAGAAAAGTTATGCGAAACAAAAGCAAATTAAGAAACCGAAGAAAAAGTCTAGTTTATATCAATGATGACCAGTCAAAGAAGGACATAATTGTACAGAAATATGTCAGACCGAAAGCGCAAGAACTAAGAAAATAAGGGAGAAAAGTGAAAGTAGGATATAAGAAAATATATTCCGATCAGGAAATATGTCGCTGGGATGGCATGAACCAAATGTTGGTGGTAGGGACCAAAGCAAAAAACAACATGAAAAGGAAAGTAATGAAGACGAACAATGCGAAGAAAAGGAATACGAACTATGAAAACGAAACAAAACAAGACAGTAATACAAAGGTAAAGCCGAAGAATGACAAGATACATTTAGCTACATAATATGTCAGAGGAACCTTTTATGAAGGTGCGCTAAAAGAACCAATCAATAAGGTAAGGAAGTATAAAATCGAATTAATGACTCTTTAAGAGACAAAACAATTAGGATCGGAAATAACTGATATAGAAGATATGGTACTTTTCAAAAGTGGAGGTAAAGATAGAATGCTTGGAACTGGTTTTTTAGCAGCTAAATGTATCAAGGCCAAAGTGATAGCTTTTAATCCTACCTCTGATAGGATGTGTTCAATACGAAATAAAAGTAAGAAAAGGAATTGGAGTATAATCAATATTCATGCACCGTCACAAGACAAGGACGACGAAATAAAAGATCTTTACTATGAACAGCTAAATGATGAATACGAGTGCCTACCTAACCGTGTTGTAAAAATAATAATGGGTGATTGTAATACTAAAGTGGAAAAAGAACCTCTGTACACTGCAGTAACTGGTAACTTCAGTAAACACGAAGTAACAAACTATAATGGTCAAAGACTTATTGGATTTGCCATGGTGAAAAACCTGGCGGTGAGAAGCACACAACTAAAACGAAAAGAGATATACAAAAGTACGTGGGTCTCCTCAGATGGAAGGACGGTGAATCAAATAGATCATGTTATGATTAAAAGTAAATATATGAATATCGTTCAGAAGGTAAGAAGTATGACAGGAGCTGAAATCGACTCGGACCATTACCTCGTTAAAGTCACATGTGGGAGGAGGCTGGAAGAAAAAGAGAAATCGAACAATAAACCGAAGAGAAAGTACAATATTAAAAAACTTAAGGAAGTAGAAATAAAAAATAAATATGAAGAAGAAATAAATAAAATTTTACAACAATTCAACCAAAATTTACAGACAGATCAAGTCTGGGAACAAATTAAAACTGCCGTAGGGGAAGCTAGCGAGAAAATATTTAAGTGCGACTCCAAGAGAAGTACAAACAAAGATTTGTTTGATGAAGAGTGTAAGGCGATAGCAAAGAAAAAGAATAAAATCAGACAACAAATATTAACAGATAATAGAGAGTGTACAAAAATATAGAATTTTTCGAGGAAGATTGAAAGCTCTGTGTAGAAGGAAAAAAGAGAAACAACAATGAGTTAAAATTAAAAGAGATAAAAGAGAAGTTTAAAAACAACGAGGTGAAATCGTTCTATCAAGAAGTTAAAAAGATGGGAAAAGGTTACCAAAGCCACTGTAGTTATATGAAAGGTAAAGACGGAAATTTAATTACCGATCCGGCAGAAATAATGACGGAATGAAAAAAACATTTTGAAGAGTTATTAAATGGTGAGGAGGACCACGAAGCAATAGACAACTGGACAGTTGGAGAAGATGCGATAGTTGAAAGGCAGCCTACAGAAGATGAGGTGGTGACAGCAATACAAGAAATAAAAAATAACAGAAGTCCTAGTAAAAATGACATATGCATAGAAATGATCAAGTTTGGTGGAGAACAACTACAAACAAAAATATATCAGGTGTTAGTACAAGTATGGGAAAAGGAAGTAATGCCATCGAAGTGGTATGAGGCCCGCATATGCCCTCTGCATAAAAAGGAGACAAACTGAAATATGACAACTATAGAGGTATAGCCTTATTAGACACGGTATATAAAATCTTGACAAGAATATTGAGAAATAAACTAAATTGCTACACGGAAAGAATCCTGCATGAATATCAGGCCGGCTTTAGAAGGGACAAATCTTCTTATTAAAGAAAATACAAACGACTTGTTATGAAGGTAAAGTTCCCCTGCATGTTTTGTTTGTGGATTTTAGACAAGCATATGATAGAGTCGATAGAGTCAAAATGTATCGAGCAATGGAACATTTGAGTATACCAAAGAAACTGATCCGGTTAGTTAAAATGACACTTAATAACTCTACGTGTGAAATTGCTTGGCAGGATCACATATCAGATAAATTTACGGTTGCAAAAGGCTTAAGACAGGAAGATCCTGTATCCACTATATTATTCAACTTAGTGTTAAAAACTGTAATTAGAAAATGCAGCATGAAGGTGGAAGAAGCGATCATCAAAAATGAGCACAAGTGCTTGGCATTTGCTGACGATTTAACGATCCTAGCAAAAACCGAGAAAGAATTAAGAAGAGTTGTGAAGAAAATCATCGAAGAAGCACAGAAATTCGGATTGGAACTAAATGAAGACAAAACCAAATATATGATCATGGGAGGGACAGAAGGGAAAAAAGAAGTCTTTAGTGTGAGGTCAGTAAGTGGTAAAAGCTATAGTTTTAAAAGGGTGGACAAATTTGAATACATGGGTGTATTTTTCGATGAAAATGGAAAAGAGAAATGGGAGCTCGAAAGCCAGAATAACAAAAGATAATAAAAAAAATAGGTAGTTTAAGAGCCCTACTGAACTCAAAATACGTTTCTAGACAAGGTAAATTTAGAATATATAAAACAGTAATTCGACCCACAGTAACATATGCCGGTGAGACATAGACATTAAATAAGAAGCAAGAGGATAATCTCGAAAGATGGGAAAGGAAAATATTGAGACGCATATTCGGAGAACGGAAGACAGAAGATGGGTGGGAGAGAAGAACCAACAATGAATTAATGGCTTTATACAAAGAACCTTCCATTATTAAGTTCGTCAAGGCACAAAGAATCAGATGGTTGGGACATGTGGAAAGAATGGCAGCAAACAGAATGCCTAAACTAGTAATAACCAGAAAATTAATCGGCCCCAAAAAAAGAGGTAGACCCAGAACGAGATGGATTAGTAAAGCGGAGGAAGACCTTAAACACGTGAAGGTGAGGGACTGGAAAATAAAAGCACAAAATAGAAGCGAATGGAGAAATATTGTACATCAGTTTCTTCAGAGTAGTTAAGAATGTGATATATACATATTTAATTTAAAGTTTTGTTTAAAATAATTGTAATTGGTTAATATTAGGATTATGTTGTAAAAAAATGCCCTAGGCTTTAACGGTCTGTTGTGCGTAAAAATAAATAAAATATTACGATTTATGACAAATTTTTTTCCCATGGAAGACGTCTATTTGAAACTAGTCGTACTGCAGCCAGTAGACTTATTGGACATCTTCCATTTCTTTGTGCTACCCATTCCAGGATTATGGAATCCTGTACCAGATTGTACAATAGTGGATATATTTTTGGAGTCACTTGGTAGTATCCGCGGTGTTTGCCGCCTGCGATCTAATGCGTCGCAGTGATGCAAGATACTGTTGAAACTTTTAAGTTCGCTAAAAGTATAGGTCTTCATGTAACCCTCATTGTATGCGGGTGTCCCTTGACTGGTGCATTTCTCGTAAGAATGCGTATAACTATGAAAATATTTAATTATTACAATATTTGCAATTGTGAGATTATGTAATATTTCATTATTGGATATATATAATTTTAGTGACAAATTTCTGTATTAAACAGTAATTGAACAGAATATTTTTTAAAAATTACAATAAAAAATGTTTACACTAAAATCCCTAGTATACATTAAGACCACTATTACAAATAACAGCGTGTTCATATATCACCAAATAATGTTTGTTTAAATTTTAAAGATACTAGATTTTCCTACTTAAAAGTAAGATCCACATCCAAATTTAAAGGGTAGAAAGATTTGATATCCTAGTTACCTAATGATTGGCTTAGTTACATTTTGGAGGGAGTGAGAGCCTCATGACTTAAGTTTGAGAATAAAATAATATTTTCCTATGGTATGAGGATAATTCGTTTTTCCGGTTATAGAGCCATCTATCAATAATTCAAAAAAAAATCCGAATAAAAGAGACTTATTTTTTCATGAGGAATTCAAATCGGTAATAAAAAATGGGGGTTCTAATTTGAGATTGTCTGCCTTCGCCCCATCCTAGGAATGGCACTTGGTGAAGTCATATTTGGTGCCATTCAATAGTTTTTTGAAAAATATTAAACACGTGTTTTTCAGTTTTTTAACTGCAAATAATAAAGATCAACATCGGGTGAGAAAAATGTACAAAAGTAATTGCGTAAATATATTGTTTTCTGCAGACCAGATGAGACTTAACTCGAGACTGAGTTAAATTTTCATATTAAAGATTTACTATTATGCAATACTTACATTAAAATGAATTGTTGGTCACGAGTGAGATGCAAATATATAATTCAACATGTTTCTAAAAAAAGAAAAATATTTACAAAATATTTACCATCTTGACCCTTTCCTTTGGTATGATCATAACTTGGTCCGGTACCTATGGATCCACTTGGTGTATTATAATTTTCTCTTTTCCAATCAAAATCATGGTTTGGGTCATGAGTCCATCCACAAATATTAATATCCTCGAAATGACAACTTAGTGATGGCTTTTGATTATTAGCTGAAATTTAAGAATTCGTTTAAAAAGCTGAAAAGTAATATTTTGATTGTCAAATGTTTTGAAATTTAACCAAGGTTTGATTGTAGCTGATTTGATTGTTAGGAATATTTTAATTGTCAAATATTTTGAGTACCGAAATTTGAGTATCGTAATTAATAAAATTTACTTGCAGCTGATTTGATTGTTAGGAAGGGAACACAAGACAATCTCAAAATATATAAAATTATTAAAATCAAATTAAGGAGAAACATTGTGAATATTATTTAGAAGAGTTAAATTAAATCACAAAAACTTTTACAATTCTTTTTTTCCAAAATCTATACAAATTTAAATATATTGTTATGAAAATATTTGCATCCATATAATAAACTATTATTAATTCTTAGCCACTTAGATTTATAGTTGTACATTGTAGGTTATAGGAAATATATATTTTTTGATTTCTTTCGTAGTCTGCAACTAAGGCAGAAATCAAGCAAGCAAGTAATTTAAGTAAACCCAGTCTTTGAGACATGTTCACCCTTACGAATTACGTTTGGGTGTAACAATTCATTGAAGCGAGGTGTAATAACTCAAAATAAAAACACGAGTCAGTCCATCGCGCTCCAATGCTCCAGGCCATCCCTTTTCCACCTATAGCACTCTGATGCGCGATAGGGGCACAACTATCAGCCAAATGCTTTTCGTGGGGAAGTCCTGTATACAAGAACTTCAACACGATATCCTATCCCGATCAATGCAGGCTAGCGTGACACGCTCTTTTCCTGCTTTCTCTAGTGACATATCATCGAACTGAAATTGCTTGCTCAGGTCTCGAGTCTCCGCCCCGGGCTGCGCCTAGTTCGGCGAGTCGATGTCCGAGGATTTCCCTTCGTGACTAGGTTTTGGGGCTTTGTTAATTTTTTTTTTGGTTGCTGTCGCCTTTTTGTTAGTATTTTTTTTAGTTTTGTTTAAGGCCAAAGCCTTTATTTATTAATTTATATTATTTTTTTAATGTCCTGAAAATAAACATCAATCAACAAAATTTTTAGTGCTGCGTTCTGGGGCTTCTTTTGTTGGTAAAGCTACGAATTACCTAGATTTTATGTGTTTGCCAGGACTTGCTGTTTTGGTCTTTTGTGCTTCTATGGATGGAACGTATCATATCTTATTATCTCTCGCAGGATCGGGCTTGGGTTATTCTCTACTTCTGCAAACGTAATTCTGGCTTTTTCTGTCATTTTATTTATCACCCTTACTTGTTGCAGTTCTCTAAACAGAAAGCGTTTAGCGACGTATCTGGGTACATTTGCCGCTTCTCTGAGGATGTTATTGTGCACTGCTTGTATTTTCTTATGAATTTCTTATTATTTCAATTGATGATGTCTCCTCATGCGAGAGATGCATATGTAATTATTGGAAGTATAGAAGTATCAGTCTTATTGTCGTCTTTATGCGCAGTTAGCTTTTTTTACCTATAAGATCTCTTATTGCAGCTCTGGCTGTTTCTGTTTTTTGGATGGTTGTGTTCACGTATTGCGCGAAGGCTTGGCCTTGGTCCATAGTGGTTCCTAGGTATTTCGCTTTTTTTTCCATTCGATGGGATTATCTTGCACTAACAGCTGTTCCTCTAGGGTTTCTCTTTTTTTTATATGATTGCTTGTGTCTTTTCTGAATTGATTGCTATTTTCCATTGAATACACCATTCTTCAATGGTATCCAATACTGTCTGTAGATTGTTAACAGCTACTTTAAAGTTTCTGTGTTTGGTTTCAATCGTTGTCTCGTCGACAGAAATCATCGTAGTCATCAAAGGCCTTGCTGGAACGACCCTAAAAAATTACAGATTCTCAATCGGCAAATCATCAAACAGTCGCGTCATACATTGAGATTTGGGTTACGACTACTACGTCCTTTAATCTTGAGGTTTAAGACATTATACCAAATAAGTATACCTGGCACAGGTGGCGAGTGTTGCCTAAGTGATACTCCAGAGAGGTGAACTCGGGAGTATTCTACTTTTAAAATGTCATGAGCACACTGCTATGCCTGACAGTATTTCGTCTATACTCGTGGGAACTAAATGGATGTGGAGCAAAAAAAAATGGCCTAGAAGGGTTAAAGACAACCCAATATGACAAAATTGACTAGAGCCTAATAAGACAAAAACAGAGGACGCTTGAGGTGACGGGCTGGCAACATGTCACTTAAAAAAATGGAACAAATGCTAAAAATTTCGACACAGAGCCTACAAATAACGGTGAGTTTAAGCGAAGACGATTATTGCAAAGAAAATGGACTATTATATTAGCTAAATAGAATATAAAGGGATTTAGAACAGAACAAGCAAAAGTGTTCAAAGAAATAGAGAAGAGAAAAGTGAATATGTGAATCCTTACAAAAATAAAGAAAAAACAAATAGAGAGATAGGAGAGCACATACATTTCACAGTGATATGAGTAAATATATCGAAGAGAATTCCAATAGCCATTCGAAAAAAAATTAAAAAACACTATTATATCGTAGACCGAAGTAGATGAACGAATTGTATTACTAGAAATAAAAAAGAATTGACATACATAATATGTTAATTATTGGTTGCTCCAAAATGAAAATGCAGATCAAGAAATTAAAGACTAATTCTAAGCCTAGATGGCTAAAGTATTCCATAAGGTCAAGGATAGCTGTAAAAATTTTATAGGTGACAAACGGTAGAGTAGAGACAGAAGAGAAAAACGTCGCCATAGGTTAATATAGAGAATAAATAACAAATGGTAACGGAATAAATCTTAGAGGTTTTGTGTTGCAACTTCATGTAAAATAATAAGTTTTTTCAGCGTATAGATATCCACTAATTTACATGGATACAACCTACTATAGTTGAGTATCAAAAATGTACACCACTGTGTAAAAACATATTCAGCTTCAACAGGATGTTAAATATGCTATTCAGAGAAAATTCCATGCTTTCTTTTTTAGAAATGAAATTCCAACCCAAAGAATGTCGCAGCCAAAATAGGTTCTGATTATTTGGTACCCAAAATATTCTGTCGTGTATTATTGCGAACATTAGGCTAATGAACATTAAATATATAAAAAGAAGTAGGAACAGATACTTATAGAAAGAGAAGATATTATATTATGATGGAGACATTATCTGAAAAAAATTCAAGATTATCGTCGTGAAAAAAGTTAAATCTACTATTTAGAACTTTTTAGTCTAAATCAATGCCATACTGTCCCAAAGTTGTAGCAAAATTTTGAAGTTAGGAATTGTCGACAAACCTTTATTATAAGGTTATCATGGGGTCTGAAAACAATCGCAGAGAAAGGACGGAGACTTATTTTACACACATAGGCAGTGATTCGGTTTTTTTGGATAACAGCTTGTTAATCTTTGAATAAAAAAAACAATCATGACAATTATCATGAAGAATTAGACGCCCAAAAATGTGAAGGTTGGTTTTCAAAGATTTTTTTAAAATTTCCAAAGACCACATTCGGTAGTCGTTAAAGCCGTTAGCAACAACTGATTCAGCAGAAAGCTGACACCATGGCCCTCTCAAAGAAATATATCATTCGATGACAATATGTTTTTAAGTTTAATTATTAAATCTTGCTAGAGACATACACCCGAACACAAAATATACGATGGCTCGTGAAAAGAACATGTTCTGCGCCTCCCTCCTTATTATTGTGAGCTTTTTTACATGTTTAAAGAGAAGAAGCAAAACCTCCATACAGACCCCTGTGACTCACCCAGGTAGTGTTGGATTCCTAACACCCTAATGAAGTTGTGCCAGGACGAGATGCAAAGACGAGATGTCCAACCTTTGACACTTCGTCCCGTCCACTCTTCGAGACGGTTGACGTCCAACTAAAAACCTCTGCTCTGTCACTCCAGACATCAGAATAGAAGAGCTGGTTGAGGCAAAACATCTCTCCTGATACCCGGCTATCACCCGATTTCCATTCTTTTTTCCACACATTCTCGGGAAAACCACACCCATGCGAACCACCAAAGACTTCTAAATCCTTGCCTTAGCGAGGCTGCCATATCTCTCACGTAGTTTATCTCTCACGTAGTTTATCTTTGTCTTCCCGATTTCAGTCCGCGTCAATCTTAACATTACTCCACCGCCACTTATTCCTCATTATTTTCTTCGCCATTTCTCCCACGGAATTAAACATTCTGCAGTTACACTCTCTTTTATATACTCTGTTTCATCCGCTCAACGCTCACATCGTATGTGTCACAGTATCTGAAAGACCACAGTAAAGGCACTGATCAGACTGTGAAATTCTAAACCTGAAAAGGTAGCTACGGAAGTAGCCATTGCCTGTGAGTATTTACTTAACTCAGCTGCCTATGCCCACAGTCCACATAGCTTTGAAGGTTCTGGATTAGTGACTTCGTCTGCTTCGCCACATTACGTGTTGTATCCATTCTTGCTGCCCCTGGTCGATTAAAACTTATCACTTGGCCAGTTTTATCTCACAAATCATTCGCTCTCCAATGTTCCGCCCTTTACGATTATTAACATTAACCCTTTTATTTGCCAGTACATGTAAAGGAACACAACCGGTGATCACCCACAGAGCAACAGCTGACACAGTCCTGTAGGCAAATGCTACCCGCAGCATACTAGTTCGGTCAACGCGTACCATAAACCTCTTGTATGTTGGTATTTTTACCGCCTCACTCTAGACTGGGACTGAGTAGTGGATATATTCGATGTAAATATCAGGATCGAATTGTTTTTCAAAGCCCCTTTGTCCGATTCTTCTCGATCGACGATGGTAAATAAATGGTTGAAGTGTGGAGTAAATATTATATTTTTATTAACAGCTACTGATAATAACACTTTAGTTGTTAGTTAGGTAACTTTCTATAATAAACTGCGCTCAAATGAGCTCAAATCTTAAATTTATAATTTCACAAATAATGTATACCTCAGCACAGAGGTTAATGCTTCTATTATACTAAAACTCTTTAAACTATGAGCTTATAATACAATCCA